GTGTGTGTGTGAGTGTGCCTGTGTGTATGGGTGTCAAACAATAAGGTCTAGCAGAGTTCGCTAGTAGTCTTGAATTAAATTGAATGAAAAGCAAAAGAAGTCATCGATAGTCGTCTAAGTCTTTGAGGGCATAAGTCAACAGTTTGTAAATAATAAATAAATAAAGACCGAAAAAGAAGGTTCTTGAAGTCAGTCAAGTTCAAAGGCTAAAAAGGTAAATGTGGATGTGTGGGTGTGAAATGCCTACAGGAGAGACTAAAGGCGGTGGCAGGACAAAAGAGGGAAAAGGGGAAAAAGGGAGAAGAAAAACAATAAACAGCAAAAGAAAGAGAGGGAGAGGATGAAGAGAAGAGCTTAGTTGTGCTTCACTGATGAATGTGACGACGATGAGGAGGAGGAAGAGGATGAAGAGGTGGAGGTAATGGACTCCTTGCGACTCGGTTCCTGCTGCTGCTGTTGCTGGGGCTGCTCTGCCTGTGGCTGCTCAACTGTGGCCGTCGTTTCGGTCAGCGTCTTGTGGCCATCCTCGAACACGGTCTCAGTGGTGATCCTAAATGTGAGTGGTGTGGTGTGAATGGCCCGTATAACTTATTCATAATCTCTTGTCCTATCTAAATGACCGATCATCTACTTACGTTGCATTGTTCGACTCGGTCGATTGCACAATTTCACGAGTGACTTCATCTATTAAGGAAAGAGAGAACATTTTTTCAATTAGATCAATCATAATGGGCAAAATAATTAAGGTGAATAGGGGACAACAGAGAGTTCAAATGGGGGAGGGGAACTGAGACTTTGCATAATTAATGAGTTGATAAAGAAAAACCAAAACCAAAAATAATAACCAAAAATAACCAAAAGTAGCCAAAAGCAACCGAAAACAGGGGGTGTTAAGTGGATTAGTTGGGCACCATACCTAGGCTCTTTGTGCTCAGTGTGCGGCGCCGTCCTGCCCTGCTCACTGGCCATTTTCTCTAAAGATGACCGTTGTTAGTAGTGAAAATAAAAAGTAACAAAAAGTTAGGTTCAGAGTCAGCCAAGGCGGTCAGGTGCAACAAACAATATGATGAAACAGCCAATACACAAACATTAAAAGCAACCAAAAGGACCACTACACACAGCAAACAACCCCGAAAGTACACAAAACAAACGAACAAACAAACAGTAAAACAGACAAAAGAACCAAAAAGTAACATGCATAAAAACAAAATACTAAAAAACTACAAAAAGCATTACTACAGAAAGCAAATCAACTACAAGCTACTGTGCTACAAAAAAAGTTGACTAATGGACTACAAAACTAAATTAGACTAATCTAATTAGTACTACTGCCAACTATCGTACCCGAATTGAAGCTTCCGTTCGGTTGTGAGATTGCTGGCTGCGGCTGCTGAGCCCCCTGCTGGTCGACTTGGTCGCACTGCAAGTCACCAGTGGAAGCGATCATGCTCGATTCAAGTGAGTCGGAAGTGAAAATGTCGCACTCGAGCACTGGATTGCCGCCAGCCGAGTCCACACTGGCCAGCATCGCCTCGCTCACCGGCTCGCCGCCCAGCGCAAAGAAGCTGTCCTTCATTAGCGACCGGTCAGAGGTTTCACTGGTGAAGGAGGCCAGCATCGGACCGGAGCGCTGGTCGGCGTCGCTGGTCGACGACTGCTGGTCATAGGAGTCGGTCAGTGAAGACATCTTTGTGACCACCTTGGTGGCCTTAGGCTGAAGCTCGTCGGCGTCGTCATCGTCGAGAAGCGAAGAGGGAACAATGTCCACTGAGTGCACTCTTTTCGGCTCCTCAAAGAGAGGATCAAACATTTCCGCCATCGAGTCCTTCACATTCTTCGTCACCCCCTGGTGCTGGTAGTGTTCAGTGTCGAGACTCTTTGAGAAGGTCTTCAACTTTGTGACCGTCTCAAGGCTGGCGGTGGTCACCTTTGAGCTAGTGGTAAACTGCTCCAGCGGGTCGTTCTTTATGCAGGTGATCGTGTCCTGGCTCACTTCAGAGTTGAGACTCTCATTGTTGTCCTCGGCGTCGGCCAGCGAAGTGTCGAGGAGGCTTTCAGAGAAGGAAGAGGTGGCGGCCGTTTTCTCCAGTTTAGCAGACTCTAGATGCCTAGAGTCAACCGAGAAATCACCGCCACCACCGCCACTCGACTGCGACCAGTCGGCGCGATCTCTGATCAGGTCCGACTCGATGCGCTCAAACTCCCTCAGCGATGAGGAGGTAGAGGACGACTCTGCTTCAGTTTTGCTCGCCAAACTCAACGGAGACGACTGCACGAGGCTGGACTTTTTCAGCTCAAAGTTATCCTCCGAGCCCTCCTCGTCGACCTCGACGTGCGTGTACAGATTCTTGTCCAGTCCAAAAGCGTTCTGACCGTAATCGAGGTAGGTGAAGTCTTCCAACTGACCACCACCACTACCACCACTTTCTCCCCCTGTCTGCGTCTGCGACTGCGGCCCTGAATCGTCGAGCAGCACAAATGAGTCTGTGAGGTTCATCTTACCGCCGTTGGCCGCCTGCTGTTCAGTGGAGTGGGGCAGCGTGTACATGTACCCGGAAGAGGACATCTCATTGGGCACCAGCTCCCAGTTGTCCTGCTCCCCCGTGTTCCCTCTGGACGTGCTCTTCAGTAAGGACAGGGGAATATCACAGTTGAAGGGCTCCACCGAGTCGGTGTTCAGCTGACTGGTGCGCTGGTAGTGCTCCTCAAACTCGTTCGCCGGCTCACCGGCGTCATCATCATCAGAGTGGCACGAAGTGGCATTATCATTGTCGCCCAGGACGATGGTCTCGCTCGCATCGGAGGAGAGCTCGCCCAGGTTCGCCGAGCTGTCGTTCTCTATCGACTGTGAGCTGGTCTTGCCGCTGAGGCTGGACTGCGCCGTGAAGTAGGAGGTCTCCTGGCTGGTGGCCGCCGTCACGTACGACTGATTGGTCGACTGAGTCGTCGCCGCCGTCTGGTAGGTGGTCGTCGTCGAGGGAGAGGACACCGCCTCAGGGATGATCGTCAGATCGTACTCACTCGAAGTCGGTCGACTGGAGTTGGTGGTGTTGGTGGTGCGCGTGCTGGACGTCTCTGAGATCTGCTGGGAGCTCTCAGAGGAGGAGATCATCACCAGATTGGCGTCCTCTTTAGGCACCTCAATCAGGCTCACTTGTTGTTTCGTTGTTGGGGTGGTGGCGGTGTCTGCCGTCGTTGGAGGCGACGTTGGCATCAGTTGTGGCCGCTGATCATCAGTCGGAGAAGACTCCACCGGTGCACTGCTACTCTGCTGCATAGTGTACTGCAGCGTCTCCTTGTCCATCAGATCCTGGTCGCCCTTCTCCACAAGCTCTTCATCGGAGATCTCCAGTGAAGTGGACTGCACTCGCTGCCCCATTTGCTGCTGTTTGCTCAACTCTTCCTTGGCCTTCTCAACAATAGTATTGGCAATGACCACTGCCTCTCGCCTTATATCTGACAGATTGACTGCATCCTGGTGCTCAGAGTGAGCAAGGAGAATGCCGTCGGAGACTTCGTCGCCGCTTGACTCATCGCCGTGATCGTAGACCACCGGAAGGGACTGATCATCAACTGACAAAGTTTGAGCAGTTGAGGAGGTGGGCGCAGTGGTGGTGGTGGGGGCGGTGTTGACGCTGCTGAGCGCTGTCACGTGATGACCTAAGCAAGCTGGCACTGTTTGAACCGAAGCAACCGAAGCAGTTTGCGCCTGTGACTGAACTTCCCTCTCGACTACTTCTCGAGAAACCGCACTTTGAGACTGAGTGTCAGCACCATCTTTAGCCGACCGTTTAGCCTGACCATCTGACCACTGAGCATCATCGTTAGAGAATAGTGGTTGATTGACATCACTGATTTGAGCACTTTGACCTTCGAGCACAACTGAACCTAATTTGGCCGTTTGAGAGTTAGTGGTGTGAGTAGTAGTTTCAACGAGTAGGAAAAGAAAGTTAGAGGTAGAAGTAAGAAAATTGGTTAGTGGTTAGAGGTTGTGTTAGTCGGTTAGGAGAGTGAAAAAGGTAAAAATCAAAACAAAACAAACAAACAAACAAAATGATGATGCTCAAATATGTGCACTATTGGGTACCTTGTGTGTCCTGGCTGCTGAACGTCGTCTTGTGCTCCATAATGTGCTCAATGGTGCCGTCGGTGTTTTCCTCGACCCATTCTAAGCACAAACATCAGTTTAAAGGTGAACTGGAAAACACTGGTCTTTCAACTTACCCCTCTGCTCGACAATCATCTCCATCTTGGGCTCATCGGTGATGGAGACGCCCACTGCTGGCTGCTCACCACCAGTGGTGGTCGTCGTGCTGGACACCGTCACCGATGAAGGCTCCGACTTTTCGTCCTCGGGTAAGCTCGAGACGGACACCTGACTGGTGTCCTGCTCCACTGACTGCCACGACTCATTCACCGCCTCCTGGCGAGGAACCTCTACGGTGAACTCTAAAGGTTTGAGGTAGAAGCCAATGGTTAGAATGTGAAAAAATCAACAACTGGTAGTTAAGCAGTACCTTTCTGGTAGTCGCTAGGGATGGCCACTTCCTCCTTAACAACGTACAGCTCCTTTTGCGTCTCCACACTTTCCCCTCGGCTGGCGGCTCGCTCCTCCATCTCCTCGTGATCTTCCTTCTTCAGAAAGTCGAGATACTGATTAGCTCGCTCCTCACGCTTCAGCTCCTCCTCACGACGACGCTTCTCCCTCTTCTCATCATCAGAGGAACTTGAAGAGCTAGAGCTGGCGCTGGAGCTGCTGCGACTCTTTGTTCTCTTTACCCGACCAGCAGTGTCGCTGCTCGTCTCTTCCGCTGACTCTGCTTCCTGAAAAAAGAAAATGTTTGTTAAATATTGAAACAATGTCAAAAAGGCTTCAAATCAAAGGGATTACCTTCATCAAATCGGGCTCATCGCGAGAGGGCTGGAGCTGCTCAGTGCGACTGACTGGTGCCGGTGCGTATCCATTGCTGACGGGAGCTTTCTCCAGACTGATCTGTCTGGCGACAGCCGCCGCCACAACTCGTTCCTCTTCAACTGCTCGGTGGTGGCCATTGAGCAATACCGGGACGGCGACCGGCTCTTCAAAGGGCTTCACCGGCGGCAGCTCTACGTTCAGATTGCAGATGGGCTGATGAGGCTGGTCGGACTTGAGTCGGCGACTGTCGCGCATGAAGGCAATGCGACCGGCCGTCTCCTGACTGGGGTCCTTCACGCGGATCGTAAATGGCAGTCGATTCTCGCGGAAGGCAGTGAAGATGAGGTACAGCTGCTCGCCCGACTTGGTCACCGGAGCGATGTTGCCGGCAAACTCGATGAACTGTGGTTTGTGCTCCAACACCTCCACGTCACGGCTCTGTGGGGGAATTGAATTGTTAGTCATTAGCAAATTAGTCTTATTAGCTATACACTGACCTTGGCAATCTCGGTGTAGTGCTCCTGGTTCTCCAGCGTCTTCTCCTCCTTGTCGTCGGTCATGCAGAAGACGCGCAGTTGTGACTCATTTGGTTCGTGCCGCTTCGCAAAGACGACAAATTTGGCCATAAAGGGAACGTGAATCGACTCTTGGTAAAGCTCGGAGGCGTATTTGGTGGCGTTGTTGATCTCCCGACAGTCGATCAGCCAGAAGCGGGCCGACACGGTCGTCGTGAAGGAGACGCACGAGTTGACAAAGGTCAGCGGCGTAGAGCCGGTCACGTCTTCCCACTGTGCCTTTGAGGGACCGCCTGTACATGCCGGGCAAATGCAAACATGCAACATGCAACATGGAGGGAAAAAAGAAGGGGGAAAGGGGAACAAGAAAAAAGTCATGAGCAAGGAGAGAATTGACTACTAAAGAAGGGAAAGTGGCACCTGTTATGCTGCAGAGCAGTCGCAGCGTGGGCGTCTCCCCGGAGTACTGGTTAATCATGCCACGAGTGGCCGCCTGGGGCAGGGGAATCGTCAGGGTGATCGGTTTGTGGAACTTTCGACGGCGAGGCTCAATGGTGCAAATGGGCGACACGGCAACGCGATTGCCCAACATCTTGGTTAACAACTCATTGGGGATCGGCTGAGCCTAGAGGGAGAAAGAAAAGCAAAGGAGAAAAAGAAAGAGAATTAAGGGATGGAATGTCAAGGAAAGATGCGGCTGCTCCCAATGGGCAGTGTGTGTATTGGTAACTCATCTCAACGCTAATAAGGCATAACAGAGACGATATCACCAAACGCATTTCTGGTAAGGTTGCAAGAGTGAGAATGGAAAAGACTGCTAAGAGTGCTAAGTGCTAGGAAAGTGCTGGGTAAGTGTGGGGGCAACCTAAGTTCTCCTTCACTTTTCTTACAAGGCACAGCTAGTACTCGTGAAGTGTAAAAAGTAATATAAAAACCCAAACTCGAGTGAAAGAAAGAAAAAGCAAAAAAGAATAGATAAGATAGAGTTTATTAGAGAAATAGAGAGATTTCAGTTACAGAGAAATAACGAGTAGGTTAGTTAGATAGAGATAGAGTACAGAGGAAAAGATTAAAGTGGGGGAGGAGTGGGTTAGTTAGAACAATAACTGAAACTTAATATTAGGCTGGATGGGTTTTAAACTTAACGAATAAGTTAAATAAATAAATGATTCTGTATGAGTCATGTTCTTAATGAGGGATATGTTTGAAAATGATAAGTTTGTCATTGGGGTGAGTTAGATTGAGATAAAAGTGAGATTGAAAATAGATAGTATCTGAACGAACTGAGTATGTGGGTGATATGCGTGGGTGGATAATATTTTCAATGACTAGAATGTAAGCTAAAACGTGCAATAAAGAATCTGACAGTCTGGTGGCAAAGGGAAACAGTAAAGAGCACACACGACAGCCTGCAGTCAATAAAAAGTGGCCCAAAAGTGGTCATAAACATCGATCAAAGCCAACTGATTGATAGAAAGTGATAGTCATAAAATATATGAAATCGTAAAAGCCCTGAAATGATATGCACTGTCACTTTAACTAGCTAAACCATTTTTGAGAGCATTGTCACTCGAGGAAAGAACACTGTCACAAATGAGAAGTTTGAGCTGAAGCCGGAACTGGAGCTCGTCGGAATTTGGCGGCACTGCATTTCTGCCGCCTTTTTGCTTTGCTTTGACTTCTTCAACAACAACTTCTTTTCCTTCTTCTTTCCTGTCTCTGCCTTCGAACAACTTTTCACCACCTTATCAGTGGCCGAAGTCATTGAGAACTGATTTAGCGTACTACTGCTCGAAGCTCGACTACGTGACTGCTGCTTCTCCTGCAACGGCTCCTGGTCGCTGCTAATGTTCATCGAGGCGGCGGCGGCATTTGCCTGGCCGCTGCTTTCAGTGTAGGTCGTCTCCAGAGCAGAGTCGTCCAGGTCGATTTTGCGCTGTCGCACAAAACCATTACTGAATGACGGCCTAATGTTGACTATGTGGAAGATATTGTTCCGCCGAGAGTCGGAACGAGTCATCTCCTCACACGTCTCTGCCTCGCTCACCAGTGAATCATTGCAATCGTATTCGGTGATATTCGGCATTTCGCCTCCCAGTGCCGAGTCAGTGGTGACAGTGGTCTCAGTGGTGAAGCCGGCAGATCGCACCGAGACTTCGCCTCCATTATCGGCCACGACGTCATCAGCCACTTGGGCTGCACTCGGGTTGGCCTGGTTCTCACTACTGCTGCTGTTATTTATGAGCACCCACATAGCAAATTTAGATTCTCTTCTCGCCACCTCGCCGCCACCTTCTTTCTCCTTCTCTACTACTTTCGCCGGCTGTCTCTGATTGCCAAGCTGAATATTATTAGCGACCGTAGCGGTGCTTATCTGCTCTGCCACATGGTCAGCGGTGCTTGGGCTCTCCTCTACTTTACTAGCTATCTTATCGTCGCCACTTTTGGTTAGGCTCGACACCAGATTGAGCTGCTCGGTCGTCAGCGCTGCCGGGGTGGGGGAGGAGGACAACGGCACTGGCAGTGGCAGTGCGGCGCCCTTCTCCTCACAGCATTCTTTCAGTGTGCCCTTCTCCTCACCGGTGGCCCCCACCACCACCATCTGGTCATTCTGTGCTACTACTACGCCTGACTGCTCACGGCGGCGCCCGCCGAAGAGTAGTCGAAGCGCCTTGCCTAGTCCGAAGCTACCGAGAATGCGTCTCCTCTTGTTGTTAGCCGCCTTACTAGCATGAGAATGGTGTTCAGTATCGTCATCATCGTGTCCTACCTGGAGTCCGACTTTAATCTTTTTGGTTAGAGCACCTTCGGGGAAAATGGCTTGCACTTGGGGCACTACTGTGGAACTAAGGATTCCTCCTTCGGGGCCGATTGCGTGAATCTCCTGGCGAATGCGGGTGATGATGGCAAAGTACTGCGGAAAGTCGGTGGTGAGAATTCGCGTGATTCGATTGCTGTTGAAGTCGTCCAGGGTGTTCACGTCTTTTAGAAGAGGAGAATGAGCGAAGAAAAAAAGGTTAAAGGTCAGACTAAAAAGTCTAAAAATATTTTAAAGCTGACGTACCGTTGTCACCGTCGAAGCTAGCGTTGAGCACCTCAAGAACCGCCTCTTCCGATGCCTCCAGCGTGTGCTCTCGCCAGGTTTCGCCATTGTCGCTGCGCAGAATGATAATCTCGCGCTCTTTGCCGCGAAGTGACGCAAAGTGCGGCACTTCAATGATGACCGGTCTAAATAGTAGTGATTTTGTATGTGTTTAAGTTGAAACAATAGTGAAGTGTCGCTCACTTACCCCAGAAACTTGGTGCCGGCAGGGCCCACTTCGAGGATGCGCGAGGCACAGGCCTCTCCCTCCATGAGGGGCGGTGGATGTGCGAGTCGTTCTCGCTTGACGTACCGACAGGTGATGCGCATCGGCATGGGCGCCTTCCTTGGCGGGATGATCACCCGAACGCCCGAGTGACGACAGCCACGCATTGCCCCGCCACGGGCGTCCACCATGAAGCTGACCAAGAATCTGTGTAGCACAGGGGAAGGCAACGAATAACCGGTCATTAATTTTGTCATTATTTGCAAGGCAATGTTTTGTAAAATCAACGAAAAAGGTACACTAAAGAAGGTACACATAATCTCTTCGAAACTACAGACTATCTACAGACTATGTACAGCGTAGTCACACTTACGTCTTCCATTTCAATGGACTACTCTCAGGCGTGATTTGATATAGCGGAGCAGCGAAGAGATGCGGCGAGGGGGGAAAAAGAAGCCAAAAACAAGCCAATTAGTTGATGCTCAATTAATTTGGGGGACGTGAGGATTTGGATGAAGGGAAAGAGGAAGGGAAGGGAAAGGAAAGGGAATAGGGAATAGGCAACACACAGTTCAGTCGATTCCAACACAACAGAACTACGGCAGAGGCGGAGGGAGGGGCAGTGGTGGCAACAGCTTGAGTGAGCCAGCACAACCGGGTTTGACACAGGACACCACTGCCGGTATCAGTAACGAGGCAAAACATAGACAAGGGAAACGGGGGGAATCGACGATGACGATGACGAGAGTGCCATGACAGCAATTTTTGGGTGTTGGTGGCAACATAGACGAAGCAGACGGCTGCAGCTGCAGCAAAGCAAGCACCATTAGCCAAAAAGCTTTCTATGGCTGCAGTCGGGTAGCAAAGCGAAGCCTGAATAGTGGTACAAGTGCTGCGATGCGTGCCGCTGCTGCTGCTGGCTAAAGTCAACACAACCGACAAACATATAGGCAGAAAGAAACAATCTCTGTCAGCAAACGGAGACTTTCAAGTTCAGTAGCGGCATTTGTAGTCGCGGAGTTGCACTACCAGCAACATTTGCAGCAGCAGCAGAACAATCATTCATCCACACACTGATGATGAGCGTCTGGCTAAGCGGTGAATAACAGCAGAGCGGGAAATGAAGCAAAGGATTGAAGCAAAGCTGGCTATTGCTGGCTACAATTAAAACATCTAGGAATCTAATAGAAAACTATTAAAAAATGTTCTACTGCAATGTGTTGTGTATTTCGAGTCAAAATGAGCACACCTGAACCGTCTCATACACTTGGCCGGCGTGAGCACCTTCGTTCGGCTCAGTGTTGGGCAGGCGTCGGGAAAGTGCAACATGTGAAGTGTACAGTCCCCGGAGGTAGTGGGGTGGTTACCGCTGCTAGGTGGCCGACAAGAGGAGAAAGAATGGGTTAACTTGGCTGCCTACTGTGCCTGTAGGTGTGGCTGTGTGTGTGCATGGGCAATGTCTCTGTGTGCGTGTATTCCTACTGACTGGCTCAGTGACAAGGGCGTGGTGGTCACTGGCTGCTTGCTGTGTCTGTTGCTGCTGCTGCTGATGCTGTGCGAACATCTGTAGAGCACTCATGACCTCCCTCCATCAAGTCGAATTGTGGTGTCGGAATGATCACACTTGAATGTGGTGCCGATGTGCAGCAGGACTCGAGTGTTGGAATTGGAATTGGGGGGTGATCAGTGACTTACCCAGCGGTGACGGGTGCCTTTGAGATGGCGATGTTGTCGGGGGTGAGGGCGTTCACGTAGGATTCAGTCATTGCAAAGTACTGCGGTGAAAGCAGTTCCTCGTCGATGGTTATGGGCGCTGGTGGAGGTGGAGGTGATTGCGACATTGCGGACGGTCACAGAGTGAACAAGCAGTAGTGATGGTGGCAATAACAACGACAGATTGAGAGTTGGTTAGCAAAATAACAAGGATAATTATGATGAATATCGATCAGAGCGGCACTGGGGCGTCCATTCACTGGCGGTCTGTCTCACTGTCTGTCTGTCTGAGTTTAGTTTGTGTGTGTGTGATTGTCGTAGAGACACTCCAAAGTAGGTTAGCAAGCGCAGGGAGAACTCGATAGGCGTACACTCGGATTCGGCAGTATGTTCGCTACGCTCGGATGCAACATCACCAGCACAAACTATCATCAAACTGAACTGCACTTGCTATATTACTTCTACTACCAGTGCTGCTGCTGATTGTGGTGGTGGTGGTGGTGGCAGACACTGTTGCTTCGACAGTCATGCTAGCTAACTAACTAACACACACACAGTACCTAAAGAACAGTGCAGCACTACTGTTAAAAATAACTGGGCGCACAAAGAGAGAAGGAGTGAGTGAAACAGTAACTAATCTTACTATTTAAGTGATTGGCAATGGCAATGCTAATGTTGGGAAGACAGAAGACGCAAAGAACTGTGCACAAACACACACACACACCACACAACTGTTGTGGAGATTGATGAGAAGAGAAAAGGAGAAGAGAGGTCTGTCTCTTGCATCGCTCGTGCAAAGTGGCAAAGTGCGTGCGACTGCTGCAGAAGCAGAAGCAACGGCGGCACTTCTTCTTCTTCTTCTCGTTCCACGCTATAGCACTCATCGCTGAGAATCGCTCAGCTTTTTGGCGGGGACAGAAGAGACAGGCACTCCTGCGCGTGCATCGGCAGACAGTACCGAGCAGACTCGAGCCGCTGTCAGTTGTTAGTCGGCGTCTAGCCCTGGTCGGCTAGCGGTAACATACCCAGAGAGTCTCGGCCGAAAGTGTCATTGAAACGCTCATCCTTGGTGACATCAATCGGAAGCGAGTCGTCGCCCAAAAACTTCATCTCATCAGCCGTCAGATATCGATAGTCGAGCTTGTCGCCTAACAACTCTTCGGCTGTGCAATGATGGTGGTGGTGGTGGTGATGGTCGTTGTGGTGATTGGTGGTAATGTGGTGATGTGTGATGATGATGATAATGATGATGATGTATGTTGATATATGTGTGTGTGTGTGTGTTCGATAAAAGTAGAGAGACGGGGAAGGGGAAAAAGAGAGAAGGCGAGAGTTAGCGAAAAGTCAACAAGTGAGCGACACTGTACGACAGCGGTGACAGCTGCAGTGCAGGCTTATCGCTTGGCACTGGCAACTCCTGACAACGGCACCAACTGTACACACACACCGGTGTCACAGAGAAGACGATGGCGAAGAAGTAGACATGCATGCACAAGGATTAATCACTGGCGCGCGCTTACAAGCATGCTCGAGGCCACTGCTCAGTGTGGAGACAGCACTACCACACAAACACACTTCTACTGTACTAGGAACTGAAGAGTGGAAAACACAAGAAAAGATACACAAAAAGAGAAGTGAAAATAAGGAAAGAAAAGGAGAGGCAGAGGCAGCAGAGGCCACTTTCCGAGAGAAAACATGCACCGTTGCACATAGCGGAAAACAAGAGAATGGAATCAAAGAACAAGCGCGCAAGGGTGGCACCACCAGTGCACCTCGCCCTTTGACTGGGGGCACTGTTAGTGTTTTAGATGGACTATTTTAGAGGAAAAGGAAAAGATAGACAGACTTACTAGATTTAGTGAACACTTTAGACTGCGGACGAGCCGACTTATCGGTAGCAGATGCGGGCTCCTCCACCACGTACTCCTCGCCTGAGGAGGCGCAGAATTGCAGAAAAAAGGCGCAGATAGTAGTAGTACAGGAGGACAGGGTAGACCCGACAGGGCAGACAGTGAAAGTGAGAGTAGAGAGAAAGGAGTGGAAAAATAGAGAAATAGTGAAATAGGTTAGAAGAGTGTGCTGAAGTTAGAGATGAAGTCTTCGCAAGAAAAAACAGTTAATAGTAGTTGATAGTGGATGTGTCCAAAGTTGACGAATGTTGAGTGAAACAGACAGAAAGGAGGGAAAAATATGCCTACTCATCGCAATGACTGCTGCTAGACGTCTGAACTAATTATACCGTGGTCTACACCAGAGTTGCAAACACTGGCTCCCAGTGAAACGTACCTCCTTCGTCCTCTGAATCACTCATAAACGATTCGTGCATCACTTCGGGCGTCACCACTTTGTACTTTTCTGTTTGGGAGAAAGAGTTTGTAAGTGATATGATCGTATTCGTGAAACACCAGCAATGGTTACCTTCGATGGTGGTGGTAGTAGTGGTGGAGATGATCGTCTCGGTGACCACCTTCAGCGTCTCCACCACGGAGATGTAGCCGAGTCGCTGGGCAATGGACAGCGCCGTCTGTCCCTGGTGGGTGATGACATTGGGCGAGGCGTGGTGCTCCAGCAGCAGATTGACAATCTGCGTGTGTCCTTGCTGTGCGGCCTGGTGCAGGGCAGTGTAGCCGTGGGCGTTGACGGAGTTCACATCGGCGCCGTGCTGCAGCAGAAAGCGCACCATGTTCATCTGACCAAAGTGACAGGCGGCGTGCAGCGGCGTGTAGCCCTCGTTTGTCTGCGAGTTCACATTGGCGCCGTGTTTCACCAGTATAGAGGCCACCTTGACGCGGTCATTCTGGGCGCACAAGTGCAAACACGTCAGGCCGTTCTTTGACTTTAGGTTCACATTGGCCCGGTGGCCAATGAGCAGCGTCACCATGTCGGTGTGTCCCTCTTGAGCCTGTTCAAGATAAAGTATTATTGTCAAGTTCATTTGATAGTGATGATGAAGGCTTACCGCAAGGTGAAGTGGAGAGAAGCCAGCCTTTGATAGAGACGAATAGTAAAGTTAGAAAACAAAAGAATGTAAACAAAAATAGATCGTACCTTTGACTGTGCATTCGGATCAGCGGTGTACTCCAGCAATGTCGTAGCAATGTCCATTTGATTTTTGCGAGCCTAAAAGAAGCATTTTGTTTCGGTAATTGGTGACATTGACCTTGCTGATGGTATAATACTCAATTACCGCAATGTGAAGAGGTGAATAGCCATTTTTGGCGACGGCGTGCGGCGAAGCGCCTTCTTCGAGCAACAGCAGGGCAATGTTTACATGGTCGTAGTGTACGGCGCAGTGGAGCGGAGTGACATTGTTCTGAGCAGGAAGCAAATTAGAAAAAGCAATTAGCGAAAGTGAGACTCCCAGGAGAGATTATATACCTTTCCCTGAGCATCAACGGGCGCCTTTCGGCTGATCAACAGACGAGCCACCTTGATGTTGCCGTACTTGGCTGCCAGATGAAGTGGACCAAAGCCCTTCTGCTCGAATGAGTAAAGAAAGGTAAGTTGTTTTGCTTTTTCCTCTACCTCTCTCTCATTGCATCACTTGCCTTAGTAACAGCTGTCAGCGAAGCGCCGTGATCGAGTAGAATAGCTGCCACCTCCTCCTGACCGTCCTTAGTTGCAATGTGCAGCGATGTGTACTGGTCCTTGGTGGCCGCATCTACTGCGGCTCCCTGCTGCAGGAGAAGGGCGACGATGTCGGTGTTGCCGAGACGACTGGCGATGTGCAGTGCCGTTTGCATTTCCTGAAACGTTTTTGTTTAGAATAACCAAGCATCATTTAGATCACTTCAGAGTGGGCACTTACTCTCGCCTTGGCGTCCACCTGGGCGCCATTTCGAATGAGAATGCGAATAATGTCGGTCTGATTGGCCCTGGCAGCCAGGTGCAGCGGCGTCTCCCCTCTGATCGTCTGCACATCAGGATTGGCCATGTGCTGAATGAGGTAAATGACGATACCGTGGCAGCCCATGAAGGCGCTGACGTGGAGCGGTGTGAGCCCACTCTCCGTCGTCGACTCAATCGAGGCGCCGTACTTCAGCAGCAGCTCCACCACCTTGATGCGGTTCTTCTTGCAGGCAATGTGCAGCGGACTGAAGCCGTTCAGGGCGCGGGCGTTCGGCTCTGCCTTCCGGTCCAGCAGCAGCTTGGCCACGCGAACGTGGCCGCAGTGACTGGCGACGTGCAGCGGCGTCAGGTAGTCCACGGTGATGTCGTCCACAGGGGCCTTGTGCACCAGCAGAATGCGAGCGCACTCCACGTGATCGCCCTGCGCTGACATGTGCAGAGGGGAGAGACCGTTCTGAAGAAGAGGGTGAAACAGTTAGCTTTTCTTAAAAGGGGGGTTCACATGGGATGATGATGAATTACCTTGGTTTTGGGTGAAATGGGCGCCCCTCGTTCGATGAGCAACTCCACCACTGACTTGTGACCTGAGCGCGAGGCGCAGTGCAGCGGCGTCAGGCCGTCCTGCGTGGCCGAGTCGATCTTGGCCTTGTAGTCGAGCAGCAGCGAGACCATGTTCACCTTGCCCCACTTGGAGGCGACGTGCAGTGGGGTGATCTGGTGCTTCGCCGCAAAGTTCACGTCGGCGTTCTTCTCCAGCAACAGCGCGGCGATGTTCTCATTGCCGTAATCTAAAGGGGTTTTATTTGAAAGGGAAAAATGTTAAAAGTTGATCTGATATTCATTTTTTTGCATTCACTTACGTGCAGCAATGTGCAGCGGGGTAAAGTTTGACTTTGAAGTCACATCGGGATTGTGATCATTCTGCAGCAGCAGAGTGGCCGCCTTGCAGTCATCCTTCTTTGCCGCCACGTGTAACGCCGGCAGACGGACCTTGCCCTTGGTGTCGTTCTCCAGCAGAACGGCCACCACTCGGTCATGGCCTTGCTCTGTTTTAAAAAGAGTTTGAATAGTGAAAAGCGGCAAATAAAAGTGCACAGCTGCAAAACTTACGCAGAGCGACGGCAAGCGGCGTGAATCCATCCGAGGTGGCAAGCGACTGATTGGCGCCGTTGGCCAGCAGAAGCCGTACAACGGTGTCGTGGTTCTCCTGGGCGGCCATGTACAGCGCAGAGAAGCCGTGCACCGACTGGACGTTCACACTGGCGCCATTGGCAATCAGAATGCGGACCACCTCTTCCTGGCCGGCCAGTGCCGCAATGTGCAAGGCGGTGTTTCCTTTCTGTTTTTAGAAAGAGGAAATTAGGTTTTCCTTCACTTTTATTGCTTCCTGCCGCGTTCATCCTTACCTTGGTGGCGGCATTGACATTGGCGCCTCGTCTGAGCAGCTCCGAGACGACGGCCACATGTCCCTCCTTGGCGGCCAGGTGCAGTGCATTGAGGCCATTTGCATTGCAGGTGTTGATGTCAATGCTGCCCTTCAGGTACTCCAGCACCTTGTCCAGGTTACCCGAACGGGCAGCCCGCAGGAAGCTGGCCATTCCATCCATCTAAGGAAGAAAGAGGGTATTGTTAGTATTGCGCTGCGTTGCTGTTTCCTAAATCTGCCTTTGTCCTCTCTTTGAGCAGTTCCTTTCAATGCGCTAGCTCATCTCTCCATTGACACTGAAATAAATGGTACCCTTGTCGTCATCATCGCATTCATAGAGCACTCAACTGAAGGCGACAAATATTTGTCGAGCCTTTTGGTGTGAATAATCAAAGCAACCTGGTGCAGCAGCAGCACACTTTACACCGTTTTTATATAGCCGGTGACGGACAAACAACACACTGACACACTGCAGAATATTGAGAGGCAGAGGGGGCAGGTAGATCGGCTGAAGAAGGTGAGGTGACGAGCTCAGTCTTGTCTCCTCGATGTCTTCTATTATTTCTTTTTCTCTCTTTGCCTGTCACCTAAGCAGACAATCGCCACGACGGCAACGCGATGATGGCAGTTAGGCAGTGAGCGGTAAATGGAGAAGCAGTTAGGTATGCAATGCATTCGCTCACTGCCAGGCAGTGTGTAGTCCATTCTGGATCGAGAGCGAAGACAAACACACAATACAGGCAGTGTGCCTGCCCGGCAGGAAGGAAGCAGGTCAAGTCACGCGCTGTCAATTTACCAGCAGTGCACTACCAGCACCACCACCACCTACACCGCAACTAAGGCAGTTGCCTCTGACAGTCGATTATAAGGCTGCTGCTGATGCCGTTGTTGTCTCAAATAAAAGGGAGGAAGGAGAACACGCCTAATGAAAAGGAATGACACTGTGTAAACAATGCAGTTAGAGGTGAAGACACTGCCTGGCTTGCCTCCATCAGTATTAGTGTGCTCATGGAGACACTCTGCTCCGAGTAGTATATGACTGGATGAACCACTGCTGACAGCTAAAGGGCTGATGCTACTGCTGTCGCTAATTCAAGGCTATTCAAATGATGCTATTAATTGAGCTCAGTTAGTGCGTCTGGCATTTGTTGATGACAAATGAGGACAATTGGAATCGAAGGTGAAATGCTCAGAGAAGAAGAAGATGAGTTCAGACCGACACACTTCCATTTGAATGGCAATCAAACTGTCCGACCATGTGGCTCTCTTCCATTTGACAAGTCTGTCTGGCAATCTAATCAAAAATCTCATTTTTAGGCAGTCAGCCTTAAACTAACACTTTGACAGTTTGTGATTATTAGCCGGCAAGAATGATAAGCTAGACCGATTACTCTCGCAGCACTGCTGTGAGTGCCGACGACAAATGAACACTGACTGAATTGTTGTTGTTATTATTAGCTGTAGAGGTAGCTGTAGTAATGCTATGGGCCTGCCCACTGAATTTTGTTAATAATACTACACATTGATGGTGATAGTCTGTAGTGATGGTGACAGAAGTGCAAGTGCGTGAAGAGTGAGCAAGGCATGCGACATCACCATCAAAACAATAAAAAAAGGCACACATCAACAATTGCGCAAGGAGCGAACAGCTGAAGATGAAGTGTGCGACAACTGTCAGCTGGTGTACGAAACACTGCTGATCAAAGAATTGTGTTTGGGTTTACCTGAGGAGGATGTGAGTGCTCGGGAGGAGGAGGCTGGGGAGTGACCACTTGCTGGTGAGTCAGCGTCTCGGTCACCATCTTTGTGCCGGTAGTGTTAGTGCGGTGGTGTTGGGAAGCGATGCAGGGGACAGCAGTTGCAAGCAAAAACACTCACTCAATCAAACACACACACACCAGGAACTGGTTGAAGGGAAGAGAACACAGAGCACAGAGACCACTGGTGGTGTCACATCGGCACAGGCAGAAAACGATTTGAAGAGATGTGTGTCTGTGTGCTGTTCAAGAAGACCCACAAGGACTGGACGTAGAAGAAGANACACCAGGGACTGGTTGAAGGGAAGAGAACACAGAGCCCAGAGACCACTGGTGGTGTCACATCGGCACAGGCAGAAAACGATTTGAAGAGATGTGTGTCTGTGTGCTGTTCAAGAAGACCCACAAGGACTGGACGTAGAAGAAGACGACGACGACGACATTGACACCGAAAATGGTGCTTCTGATCGGCTCGGATGACTACTACGGCCTCTATCTCTGTCGGTGTCGGTGTGTGTGTGTCCGCGGTGCGTGTGCAATTACCCAGTTTCAGAGTGGAAGAGAGAGATAGAGAGAGGATATTCTCCGACTACAGCTAAAACTGAGGATGACGTCACGGGTTTGAGAGTGTTGAAACACTGACGATGCGAGTGTGTCTGTATGGATGATGGTGGCGGTCCCCTCGCTATATATGGACATCAGCAGGCGCAATGAAGCAGCCAATGGGTAGTAGTTGCAGACTACTGGATTCAGAGGCAGTCGTAGTGGCACAGGATCACTCAATTGCTGTTGCTGCACTGGGCACTGATTCAATTGGAACACTGCGACGGCACTGCGACGACGGCACTGCCACCACCAGGGCCACCAACTGAAAGACAGCTGTGGGTAGGCGAGAGTGTGCTGGCAGACCGGGGCAGCTTCACTGAGTCACGACTGGCGCACACACAGTCTGATTCTCAATTCCTCGGGTGGCACCGGTCGGGATAGACTGGCTGACTGAATGAATGACTGACTGGGGGTACAGCAAGCACAGCGGCACCGATCCAGAAGAAGGAGGCTGCTGGAAATGATCCGGCTTGCAGAAGAAGAAGAAGAAGAAGTGGAAGAGGAGGGGAGCGGTGTCGGCGATGATGGTAGAGCAGGTGAAAACGAAGTACTGCCGCTGCTGTTTGTGGCCGCGTTGGCTTATCTCCTCGACGAGCACTTGCTCCTCACTAGTCAGTCTGGACGCCGGTGTCCGACACGGTGTCTGTCTGTGCTGCGGCTACGGCTGCTGCTGCTGCTGCTGCCGTTTGTTGATTGCCTGGCCAGCTTCCAGGGGAACGGTTCGCTAGCTGCTAAGCCTGCTCTGAGGTAGTACTACCGCAAAGTGACATTGCCAGTGTGTGTGTGTGTTGCCACCAGTGCAGTCAGTGGTGCACATTGCTGAAGCACTTGAGCATTGCAATGCTCCTGCTGCTGCTGCCGATGCCGCTGTCGTTGATGATGCTTATGATGCTGTTGCGCCCGATGCAAGCCTCGTCGCGCGACTGCCTCACCCATCCACACACTGCTGCTGCAGCTTCTTTTTCCTCCTCTTCTTCTTCTCCTTCTATGCCTGTTCCCTGACAGACACAACTGCAACAGCAGCAGCAGCCAACTCGATTCCATTGCCAGCTGCAGCAGCCGCAGACAGAAAGAAGAAGAGGCAGTCAGGCAACAACAGTGAGTGAGAGAGAACGCCAGTGGAGAAGTGAGAGCATGAGAGAACAGACTTGGCAGCGGCAGCGGCGACGGCCTGACTGACTGGCTGCTCTTTACCGCCACGACCAGCAGCAGCAGACACTTCCTTGACCGTCGAAGAACAACATAAACATTAGAGAACAGACAGAAGAACACTGGCGAAGATGATCATCTCGCTCAGTCAGGTCCGTTGGTGCCATCTGCCGACTGAGTGACCCTCTTTTGCGCCTTCCCTTTAAAAACGGGGACCGCTAGCTGTGTAGAGTGGTGCACTGTTCGTCTCCATGGAATGGTCGCGGCAACCATGAATGGGCATTACCAACACCACCACCACTACTGCCACCGCTGTCGACGGGTGGTCACTATAAATAGAAGACACCGCGGAAGTGTCATTTGGGGAAGGAGAAGAAGAAGAAGAGGCAATTCACAAGTGCACAGTTGAGCCATTCTCTATCTCTCTTGTTCTTTTGGATCAGATATCCTTCTCTCTCAATGAAGAGTGTCTCTGCTCATCGACGGCTGTTTCGCTAATCGTCTCACTCTCTGCTGTCATTAGTCGATAAGCAGCGGAGCACAATTGCCAATTACCACACCGTTAATTGCACATGAGTCCCTTCTGCTCTTTTCCTATCCCCCAATCGATTCATTGGGCTGCCTGCCTCACAAAGTGCTCCACAGATCAGCAGTGGGCGAAAGAAAAAGAACAACGAAAAAGAAGAAGAGAAAGCCATTTACACCTTCGCAGAGGCTCGAACATCACGAACACTGATGATGGAATTGACGTGTATGAGCTTGTGCCAGTTTTGCCCTCGCCACTCTCAATTGCCATCATCTTTACAAGCTGACAGCTGCAACTGCAGAGTCTGCTGTCAGCTTGTCAGTCAGTTAACGTTTTGAAAAAGAGAGGGAAAGGAGAGAGGAAGAAGCGAAAGTCAAAGATGAGGAGGAGGAGGAAGATGGGCAGCCCAGCGATGGACATCAGTACAAGATCATCAGAGTTGCTGCTGTCCCATCAGTTGATCAGTTACGGTTCATAAGCAGTTAGCATGAGTGTGTGCATTTTCCAAGCAAGGCAAAGCAAGTGAGGGAAGTGCGACTGGTTGAACTCACCAACAGCTTCGGCGAATTGCCTTGGAAGCAGTTGCACAGCAAATTGTTGCTCATTTTGAAGGAAGTATTTAAAACTGGTGTTCACTGTTGTGTTGTAGTAGTAGTTAAAGTTGTAGTTGAAGTTGTTCTTCACTTCACCGTAACTGTCCACCCTTTCAAAAAAAAGAAAGGAGTCTATCGATATCTGCACTACTGTTGCTGCTGCGGCTGGTCACATAGCCACACAATTAGTTTTACTTTTGGGAAGGGCGCATCAGTGGAGTATCGGCGAAGTGGAAAGAGTGAGTGATCAAGTGAGTTTGTTCTCTGATGGCCAGATGGGCAAACATCTGCTCGCCAACTCTCGATTTCGGGCGCCTAGTTAGCAGGGGATAGGGCGAGCGAGAGTGAGGCTATTTTCAGAATTGGTCCGAGCAGCACAGTGAGCGATGGATGAACATGGAGCGATGTTCGATGCAGTGGTTACCACTGAGGATGCTGATGCTGATCAGGCTGCTTTGCGGTAGTCCGTCGATTGAACAAGTGTTCGCCTTCTTTTTCCTTCTATTGTGCCGATGTTGCACTCTTTCTGTTGATGATAACCTTTTTTCGGTTGTGTTATTGTGCTGGTGCTAGCAGTCGTGTTGGCGTCTGTGGTCTTTCTCCTTTCCTTGGTGCTCTTTGACGAGGGACGATGACTACTGCTCGGGTTACGATCGAAACGGTGCTTTTGCTACTGCTGATGCCGTCGGTGGTGGCAGTGATGGCGGTGGTGGTAGTGATGGTGGCACGGCAACGGGTCGTGCTCCTGAGAAGCATCAGCAGCTTGGCTCGGTTACTACTGAAACAGCAGAAGCACTCGGGCACTCGACAATTGATCGGTTACGCTAATTAGGATCACTTGCTGCTGTAGACCACAGCGGTCGTAGTAGCAGTGATAGATGAACTGAACATGGACAAAAATGGTAGGCCAATCAGACAGAATGTCTGACTGAATGAGTGAGTGAGTGTGGTTATTTTTACTAATAAGTTCGTTTTCTACTTTAGTTTTGTACACTCTACCTAACCACTTCCCGTTCAGACCGATGGTTGTCAGTGTGCCGCTACCAGTGCCCTGAGATCACTTTCTGCTAACTCATCATCATCATCGTCGTCGTCGTTGAGTTGAGCACTAATACAGTCGCTTGTAGTGGACGACAATGACAAAATGTCACATAAAAAACACACAAGCAAAACAGAAAAAACAAATGGCCTCTAAAGTGAATCTGGCTGCAATACCTGTGTTTTTTTCTCGGCTAGTAAACGGTTCATCAGGGATTGTTTATTCTACCGAGAAATAATCAACATTTACTCGCGTGCAAAAAATGCAATGCACTTTTTCACTTTATTGCACAACAAAACACTGTTTAGCTACACAATAGCTCAATTCTACTTTTACCATTGACCTGTTGACAGGTAGCAAAAAACAACAAATTGTTGAGCAATTCTTAAGTGATTGGTAGGATTGGCGAATTAATTAGCGCAGCAGCAGCAGTAGAGTACAGGGGATTGGTGCCTGCAGTGGTGCGAGAGAATGTGTGAGGAGGTGCAATAAAGATTACGTGTACTGAGCCCTCAGCTGAGCTGCTGTTTCACGGTGCACTGCCTGTTTGCACAGGTGTCAAAGGAGTCAGTCCGAGTGTACACTGCCGCTGACCCTAGCTGCCCTGCTGCACTGCTGCTGCTGCCCCATATGGACACTCAGCCTGTATTCTGTTTGCTCACCAGGCCTGCCATTGCCGATTCTGGGGGCGATTCTGGCAGTGTCAGAGAGACAAAGAAAGAATGAGCAGTCTCTAGAATGTTCAGATGTATTCACCGACTTTTTATTTAAAATAAACTGTGTGGTATGTGGAGAAGAAGAAAGAGCAAAAAAGTAAACAAAGAAGCAAAAAATACAAAAATAGACCTATGCATCAGTTGAACAATATATTGGGAAAATGAGAATCTGAGTGTGGGATGAGAACGACCAGTGACGGAGGATGAACATCGAGAAGAAGGATGAAGAGAAGAAAAAAAAGAATAGAATGACGACCTCTGATACCCTGCCATGTTTGCTTGTTTGAAAGATTTATCACAGATTTTGGATGACGGGTAGCACAGCCAGGTTAGTTGCCTGACTTTTGCAGCTTTTCAACGGTCTCGCGAATCCAGCTGACCATGTTGGGCACTTTCGCGTAGATGCCGTATTTGCCCTTCTTGCCGCAGCCTTCTCCAAAGCTGTAATAGGACAAAAAAGTTTTGTTAGTCTTTTTTATCATGTTTCAATAAATAAATCTCTTACCTAGTGATGCCGTAGAGGTACCACTTGTTTCGAGAGATGTTCCCAGTAGATTGCTGCGGAGCCTCCTTTCGCCGGAACATCAGCGGTCCACCCGAGTCGCCTGCACAGCTGTCGGTGCCTCCTTCCTTGAAACCAGCGCATACCATATTTTTCGTTATCTTGTAGCTCTGGTAGACTTGTTTGCAGTCCTCAGTGTCGGCGATGGGCACTCGAGCCACCTGCAGCACCTTCGTACCAGTTCGCTTGTGGTTCTTCTTCTTGCCCCAGCCGAGGATGGTCCCATTCTCCTTGGTGGCCATCTGGTCGGTGGCCGCTGGCAAACAGATCGGCGACACGTACTCGTCAATGTGCAGCGGCCGGTCGAGTTTCAACAGCGCCAGGTCGTAATCGACGGTCAGCGTGTCGTAGAGCTCGTGTTTCACCGTCCTCGTCACATTGCGCAACTGCTCGGTGCCCTCTTTTGCGTGGAAGTTGTGCTCGCCTGCCACTACAAACAGCTCCTGTTGCTTGACGCAGTGTGCTAATGAGAGAATGAAGAGGAGTTAAAAATCGATAAAAAAA